TGTGTGTGTGTGTGTGTGTGTGTGTGTGTGTGTGTGTGTGTGTGTGTGTGTGTGTGTGTGTGTCTTTAATTTGTGTGTTTCTGTGTGTTTTTCTCTGTCTGTCTGTCCTGGTATTGTATCCGGGTCAGATTGACCGGAACCTCTTATGAAGTAAATTATTGCCTATAAAAACAACATGAAACATTAAATAATCAGTTGCATTCATTTCTTATGGCTCTATCTGCAGCTTTTCCAGAGTCATTTCTTATGATTACATTTTTCCACAGGCCAACAACAGCTTCAAAAAACAATTTCCCTCAAAGAAAAAAACAAATATGCCCTGTTGTCACAAAAAAAAAAGTGCAGAAGGAAACATCCATTAAACTCAGTGTGCTGCTCTGTGATGCTAGTTCAAGCAGATACTTGGCATCTCATCTTGGGTGCAAGTTCATCAATGTTTGGGCTCAGGCTCTGAGCTGAGGAGACCCTCAGGATGGAGTGAAGGTGTGCGTGCAATATACCGGCGGGCCAGATCTAATAGTATTTAGAAATTATCCTGCGGGCCGAAATTAAATCCACCAAGGGCCTGATTTGGCCCCAGGACCTTGAGTTTGACACATGTGCTTTAATGACTCCTGTTCAGCTAATTGCCTAACTAGCCAATTTAGCCATCTACTGCCATCTAGTGCATTCATGTGTGATTACCAGCTGCATAAAGTGCACTATGGAACTTCTTAAATATAATAGCAGAAAGATGATGACTTTGATTTTGGTTTGCAATAACTGTGAGGTTCAGCGCTTCTTCTTCATCCCTAGGAAGAGAAGCAGAAGCTAGATATATATTTTTTGTATAGGAATCTGAGTTCATGCTCAATATTACTCACATTTAAAAGGAAATATAATTCCAGATTCTAGATGCAAGCCTGATCACTAAAATGTCCTCAAAATCTCTGCTTTGCACCAATACCTTGTTTATGGGTGGAAGAAGTATTCAGATTGTCAAAATATACTCCATTACAAGTAAAAGCCCTTCATTCAAAATCTTTCTAACGTAAAAGTAGTATTAAATATTATCAGCAACATGAACTTAAAGTATAAAAAGTCAAAGTAGTCATTCTGCAGAAGATAGCCTCTATATGTGTGATACGTATATAATTATATATGACCATTTTAAATAATATTGTTGCATCAAGTATAGGATCTTACTGTTGTAGACAAATAAAGTTCTGATTGACTTTTTTGAAAAATGTTTAAATAATTGGACTCTTTTGAGTTGTCCACTAGTTTCATTTTAAAGGTGCATTTTTCTAAAAGTAGCTAAAGCGCTTTAATAAATATAGTAGAGAAGAAAAAGAACAGTATAAAGTTGCATTAAATGGAAATACTCAAGTTTCATGTACTTCAAAATAGAAGTACATTACTCGAGTTACTGTCCACCAGGCTCACTGAAAACCATTAAAGCGAGAAATCCTTGCAAGAACATATACAAAAATCAGGACCTCTTGATTATATGTCTTATGACTGTTGACCCTAATGTTAATGGCATGTTTGTTGTGTTGATGTATGCTTAAATAGTTGTATGCTTTAATGTTTTAAAAAAAGGTAATGGTAAAACACAGACAGGGAACACTCTACTGTAACTGCACACAGTATAAAACGAGGGTTTAATCAGGGGTTCCTTATAAAAGCTCTCAATGGACTCGAGGTCACATTGTTCCAGCAACACTCTAGTTAAATAAAATAAAATGGCTCTTGACTTGCTGCTCACGTCAATGGTTCTTCTTTCATTTAGTGAGGCTTCAGCAGGCCTTTTGTAGAACCTCCAACACACACCCTAATGAAGAGGGCCCTCTTTCAGCTGATTTATTGTCAGTGGCAGAGCTGATTTATTGTCAGAGGCTCAGTGTAACACATTTGGGATTTCTGTCCTTGCCTTCACCTAAACTGATCCTTTCATGTCTAGACAGGCTTTCTACTGTATTTGAAGATAGCTCGCTGTGATGGCGAAAGTAAACTCACCGAATTAGACTGATAAACTCATCCATCACCGTTGCCGCGGTGACGGTATCCAACTACGTGCAGTATCCTGGCAACAGTGGCCAAACAAAAGGGCTGCTTTGCCTCGCAGGGATGAAGAAGATGAAGCGACCGGACAGCAAACTTAACGAAACAGAGGTGAAGCAAAATGGCGACTCAGGTGGTCATCTCTCTGTGTTTACCAATGTTCACACCGCGGCAGGAAGTCCCGAGAAAAGACTTCTGTCCGCCTTTAAGAAAGACACAAACCCCGGGAAGGCTTACCTGGCAGGGAGAGGTGAGTTTGCTCGTATACACATTAATTTAGCTCGGTTTAATATCTTGTTTTAAACTTGAAATCTTATTTTTTGGGAAAACTTTATTGACACAATAATAAAAACACAAGGACAGGTTTACAATGCAACACAGGTAACGAATAGAGGTGGGAAGTAACTCAGTAAATGTACTCAAGTAACCTACTCTACTGTACAATTCTGAGGGACCTGTACTTTACTTGAGTATTTCCATTTCATGCTGCTTTAATACTTCTATTCCACTACATTTTGTTGGATAAAACAACATCCGGGAAAAAATATCTAGATTATAATATTAACATGTGAACATCATTCACCTGGTTACAGATTGTCTTCTTCTATGTCTAGAGATTAGAAATAACATTGTAGCCTATTGATATATTTGTATCTATAATATTATATGATTCCCCCTTCAATTGCAAACATAAATGTTGCATAATATATTGTTTGCATGTTAATGTATGTAGAATATGTTTAATGGAAAAGATAATAATTATCACGTGGCTCCATCAGCTTTACATTATCAGAGCATAACACTTTAACTGCTGACACCTGTTGTCTATTTACTTTTAAAAACTTAATTGAATTACTAACTCGATCTGGAGGTTTACAGACATTACGCCCTGAAATCCACCATCTTTTAAATGTATTACTTTGTTAATGGCTGAATAATCATCTTTAACTAGACACACAAAGAAAAATATCAGCCACAATTTCTAAGCCTATTGTCAGAGAATATTTACTTTACCACTTTGGTTCACACTGTTTACCTGAATGTTGCCGCTTGTTTGTTCTAGATGACATTATTAAAACTAAAAAGCTTGTTTGTTAGATGACATTACACATACTACATTAAAACTAAAAAGCACAGTGTGTCCTAATTCAAATTTTGTGTGGGCTTGAGAGTCTTAATCACAGATTTGTTGGTTGTAACCTTTCTTTTCCAAAATGATGTTTGACAGTTTGAATACAGTGTTTGGTTGGATGACAATATTCCTATAACTGTCTTTTGCAGAGTATTACAGCGAGGATGGAAAGACCTTTGAACTGCGTCTTGTTAGAAGAATAAAGCAACAGCTAAGCGTTGATCCCACCACTCGCCCGGAGTATCCGTCTCCCCTCGGCCTAACAGAGTTCACCAGGCGAGCCACAGAGGTTGCTTTAGGGAAAAGCTCTCGGGCTATAGTGGAAGAACGGGTAATCTCAGCTATATTTTGTTACTGATTGGAGATAAGTTATATAATTACACCTCAGTTTGCACAGTACTCTGAAAATCAAGCAGCAGCATTTACCTTATCCTATCAATCAGCCCTGAATGATTTGCGTCTATCTTCTGAAGGACAGAAGAATGTGTCTGTTAAAGGAAAGAAAAATACCCATCCCCTACCCCCCACCCCTACCTAATTAGGTAATGGTCACAGAAATATTAATACAAATACAAATAAATAAAATAATACAAATAATAATAAAATGCATTCACGTCTATCTTCAGCATAAATCACTATCGTGGTTGGGAGGGTTACTTTTAAAAATGTACTCAGACACAATTACTAGTTACCTGGTAAAAAGAGATGTAATCAGTAACTTATCTAGGTATCACATAATACTATGAATGTAACCTGATTACTCTCTGTTACTTTTGGATAAGCTCAACATCAAATGCCATGGCAATAAATAAATAATAAATAAATATATACAACCAAATAAATATAAGATAAATATCAATATGTAAGTATTGTCAGGGAATAATATCGCCCTACATGTTTACCTTTTGCCCTCTGACGCAGCTGACCAACCTTGAGCAGCCGTTAACTCCCATAAGGAGGGGCTGCCCTAGCAAGTTTTAGTTGTTACCAGTTTATGACCGGCCAACTCTCGGTGAGAGATAGTTATTGTTGTGGGACACCTGGAACACATCCTTCTCGGGGTGTAGATGACCCAGAGCGCTGAAAATCGATGGTAACACAATGAGAGACAGAGTCTCGAATTAGATTACACGTGCGTCTTAAATTTCGGTTGTTTGTAAACAACATAGAATTTTAAACGACAATTCTTCTTCAATTTTAATGGCAGTGTCCCCTTTCTCTCCCAGTGACGGTGTGGTTCGCCGTGTCACTTAGTATGGTTAAAGAGTTCTCCAAGTCGGGGTTCAGCGTGTTCGTTGCGCCACTTTGGTCCCAGAGCTTGTGGATTTGGAACGGTTGGGTTAGTATTTTGTGGGGTCTCAATTTCAATTATAGTAGTTGAACTACCCTTTTGTGCTATCTCAAAAACAAAATAGTGGAAATATCATCTCGGAGTCGTAAAACTATATGACAATTTATACAACCAAGAAGAAAAAAATACAAATATAGGAAGACAACACACTGTACTATATGAACACCCTACTTTGAAGACTTTTCCGTTAACCTTTTCTGTCCTAGTTCTCTGTTCGCTCCTCTTTCGACCTCGAAACCTACCGTTTTTTGTGACTGCCAAATAAGACCTGCGAAGTCGGCCTCTTAAGTGTTCTGTACAGTTTCCGGTGCTCAAACTGGTGTGCCATCTCTACCGGTGTTAGGTGTGTGAGACTTCTGGGGAGGACATCGAGGTCCAAAATTGATCAAGTCTCACATTATTGAGTTTGTAAAGAAGTTTTCTATTCTGATTTGTCGACTCTGTGACTTAGTGTGTTAAACAACAACTG